CTTTTAATAACCCATATAATCCCTTCACTATAAGGTAGAGATCAAAGTACCAACCAAAGTTTCACTACTAAGGAGTGACAACACAGTGCTTTCTATGTGTTAGGGATGTTATGAATGATTATTCATAGGGAACAGAAAACTTTCAACGGTGGTATGCTAGTAAATGTTTAACAGCTCTCCAGAGGAAAAATAACTGATTTATAACATTTTCCAATTTTCGTAGTGGAATATTAAGAAAAATTTTATATGTTCAAAAACTTAGGAGAAATGGAGAGATTCCACAAAAGGTGATAATGACCAAAATCAACTCACAGAAAAGCTGAAAGCATGAATAGCCCTTTATTTATTAAAGAAAATGAATTCACAATTAAAACTATCCACAAGAAAAAGTTGAAATATGGATGGTTTTACTGTAGAAGTGTATTGGTTGGGTAAGGAATAAATTGTACCAATCTTTCACAAAATCCTTCAGAAAATAGAAGGAGAAACACTTCTTAACTCATTTTTTTAGGCCAGCATTATCCTATTACCAAAAGTAGATTAAGACATTATGAGAAAAGAAAATTCCAGATCAGTATACTTCATGAATAGAGATAAGAAAATCCTTTACAATTATCAGAAAATTGAATCTATATCAATATATATAAAATACATGATGACCAGGAGTGAAAGCTTCATTTGAAATTCAGAATCAATGGATATAACTCACCATTTTAACAGGATAAAAAGGGAAAACTATATGATTATCTGTATAGGGAGAAAATTATATGATCACCTTAAGATATATATATCTTATATAGAATAAATATAAGATATATATATTTATGAATATATATATATCCTCCCAAATAAGAATAGAAGAGATTTTTTTCAACCTTATAAAAGCTATTTAAGAAAAACCTGCAGCTCTTATCAAACTTAAATGTTGAAAGATTAAACACTTTCTCCAAGATAGTGAAGAAAACGAGAACTCTTAATCACTTCTATTCGACATATTGCTAAAGATCCTAGGTAATGCAATTTTTTTTTTAAGTCTAAAAAATTATAGAGGATGGAGAAAACTGTCTTCGTTTGCAGGCTGTGTATGTATAAAAGTCCAAAATTATTTCCAAAATAGCCACTAGAACTGCTACATAAATTTAGAAAAGTATAAAATATAATGTCAATATTTAAAAGTCAGTGGTATTTTTTATAAATTACCAACAAAAAATGTAAAAAAAAAAAATGCCATCTACAATAGCATCCCAAAACATGAAATACTTAGAGACAGGTTGTTCAACAAGATATGTACAGTATTTGTGCACTGAAAACCTCAAACATTGCTGAGAGAAGTTAAAGCAGACCCAAATAAATGGAGATGTATATTTTGTTCACGGGTTGAAAGATTCAATATTGTTAAGATGTCAGTTACAGTGAGAATTCTAACAGGATATTTATAGAAATTAACAAAGGTGTTAAATTTGGGATTCTAAATTTTAATGGAAATCCAAAGGACTTGAGATAGTCAAAATAATTTTGGAAAGGAAGAACAGAGTAGAGACTGTGGTAAGCAGAATTCTAATTTGGCCCCAAGATTACTTCCCCTGCTGTACTAGGCTGTATAATCCCCTCCCCTTGAGTGAGAGAGAAGAGGCCTATGAATATGATGGGATTTCACGCTGTGATTAGATTATGTTACACGGCAAAGGTGAAGAGATTTGCACCAGTGGCTCCATCCAGGAATGAAGTGGCTTCATGCCTGTGTGTGGACTCCCAGACCAAAGGTAAAATTTTCTCACACTCAGAAACAGATATGCCTTAACCACCTCTCAGGTCAAGGCAAGCACGCACTTACTTATTGCACAGTCCACCCTCGGGGTTATACAAGGGAGGAGGCCCACACATACCCTGAGGGATATACTGGTGTCTATGTGGGTAGGGAATTCCAGCCTCACAGTTACCCCAGGTGTGGTCTAAAAGGGAAGGAGTGTGGGCTCTGGATAGACAAGCCACTTGGCCACAGGATCTCCTCAGTTCATAGGAAGAGAGTAGGCTCAAGGTGACTGGAGTAGGATCTCCCAAAGCAGAACATTTCGCACTTGTATGTGCATATAATTGACCTTAGGATCTTACCAAAATTCATGATCAGAGCATATCAGGGTGAGACTTGGGGTTCTGCATACCTGACAGGCTCTCAAGTGACATGAGTGCTGCTGATCCATGGGACACACTTTGAATAGCAAGGTTGGACAGCAAGAGGCCAAGGTCAAAGGGCAGTACTACCATGATGCTTGGCAGTGCACCCCTGGCAGTGAGGCCTATAATCAGGTCTAACTGAACCGGCGTCACTTAGAGTTGTCAAATCCATGCACCAAAAAAAAGTAAAAACAAGAAGGGCTATCTTTAATTCCACTATATGTCACTAGTAGCTTTATATGTGTTATCTCATGTAATTCACAGGCAACTTCCCAGGTACCAGCATAGAAACACTGGCCAGTCACTTAGGGACGTTCTTCCTGATCTTATAGCATCCCTCATTTCAAACCTTCTGTCTGTCCCAATCCACAGTGGTAAGAACCTCTTGTCTCCCCCGCACTCCGCCCCAGGATTCTCTTTTCCTAAATCCTCTTTTTCTAAATCCTCCTTTTCACAGATCTCAAGACAGCCCAAAAACATCCTGGTTGGTTCTACTAAAGAATCATGTTATTAGACCTCAATTGTGCCCTCCTGATTTGTGATAGTCTTCCTTTTAAATATCTTATGGACTTCCCAGCATTTTATCCACAGTGATGCCCCAAATCCATTCTTTGTGCTCAGTCCAATTGTCAGCGAAAGTGCTTGCATCCCACTTTTAAAAAGGGAAGAGTGCTTTATCTGTGCTTATATCCTGATCTCCTTCTTCTCCTGGGCTTTGCTTTTCAGTCATCCCCTGTCTTTCTGTCTCCACTTTAACTTCTAGCCACTCAAAATTTTGCCTTGAGCTGACAGTAAAATTCTACACACTCTCCTTCTCCCTGTTCAAGGTCTCATGCAGCAGTCCTCTCCTCCTTCCCTCACTGCCCAGTGGCATGACACAGGCACCTTCTTCCACTGCCTCTTCCTACCCTCCTGCTACCACCCTAACCTCTGGCAATCTGGACTTTCCATCCACCAACCTACCACAACTGCCATGTTGAAGGTCATTTAAGGAAAAAACAATTAGCATGCTTTTTACTATGAAGTGTTGTATGCCTAATATCTGAAAACAAAAATAACTTTGTAATTTTCTTAGCAAACTATTTCTTCATGAAATAGGACTGAACTACATACATTGTAGACTCTATTTGCATTATTACACAATGGGCTCAAAATTAATAAAGTTACAGCGAGGTTCCATTTATGGTATGTGAAGCCTTATATGCAAGCAAATGTTATCAAATTGAAAAGAAAACCTTGATTTCTGTTTGTTGAAAGAAAAAAATGCAATAATCTGTGTTCCAACCCGCTTTAAGATAATATTGAGACTTAATATAATACAGATTAAAGTAACTATCAAATATGTACCTTAGAAATGCAGTTATCATCAATATGCCATACATTTAAAGTCTGAAGTGAAATGAAAAATCCAAAACTGCAGATAATTCAAAAATTATTTTGTTATAATTAGAAAGTCATGATAGTTAGCCTTAAGCTAATAATAGTTTTTTTCTTTTTCTATCTTGTGCGTTTATAAACTGATAGTGGAAATCATTGACTCAAAACCTAGATAAACAACTGGGTATCCCACTTTGGTATTGAAACTATGTGTCTAATCTATAGTTGCCTATCATAATTGTCATTCATTTTGTTTTATAAAACAATTAAAGCTTGTAACATCTTAGATTTTTAAGGATGAATTTGTTTTCCTGACCAAGATTACCCATGTCATAACTAACAAAGTTGGAACACTTCTTATTACTAGCCTTGAACTACCAAGTGTAACCAGATGTTATAAAGTATGTTATTAAAATATTTATTGTTTTTATTAAGAAAATGTGGGAGCATGGATTATTTACAATTATAAAAAATGAAAATGAAATAGAAATTGTTTCTGTTTAATATTCATGCTGTATTTTTTTTCACTCTAGCATTTTTAAATTTTGAGACATCACTCTACAAAGATTTTGCATCCCTGCTCTGGGATGGCTCCCCCTTTTTTGCTATGTTTTATTGACATTTATAAAAGCATACTTTTTTTCTTTTAAAGTCTGTGTTGAAGGTTAAGACCTTGGGTCATTCATTTCTGTATTTTATCTGAGCTTCTTTTCTCACTATTAGTTGGAAGAATGGCAAAATAATAAATTGAGTACTCTACTCTCATTTGATGATTATGTAATTGATGGGCCAAAACAAACTTCTGCTAACCAGATGAACTTCTAAGTTATTCCAAGAGAATCAGGAATCTTCCTCTACCCTCCATGTACGCTGCTTCTCTGTGCAGCTAAAGCCCTTGCTTGGGCTGTATAAATTAATACATTTGCTAGAAATGTGACTTTTGGACATTTTATAGCAGTGGTTTTAATGCTGTTAGTGGTGAAATAGAAACTTGAGAATGTGAAGATTAACTTAAACCACATGATGGGTTCAAGGAAAAGGGACACACTCTATAGTTTCTTGAATGTGTACTAACTCTGTACAGCAGGGAATGGGATCTGAAAAAACCACCAGTGAACTTTTAAACTCTCTTGAGAGGAATCAAACCAGCACAATTAGCCATGAGATGGAGCAGTTCTTGAAGACAGGCCTCTTCTTTCTCCCTCAGAAACAGATGCCTTTCCTGAGAGAATACAATTGGAAGTTCAAAGAGAGAAGAGTCACCTTAACTGCTACCCCTAGTGGAATGAAGCTAGAACTATCTTTCCAATCACCAGCAGGTTTACTGATCTGTCTTTTATCACAGATCCCAAATTCTGTTGGATTCTTTTAACAATAGATAACCAACAAATTGTATGCTGTGGATAGTTGACGAACTTGAAATAAAAGATCTCTTTTTTTTCTTCCAGTTTGTTGTAGCGGTGTTCTGGATCATTTATGCCTATGACAGAGAGATGATATACCCGAAATTGCTTGATAATTTTATCCCAGGGTGGCTGAATCACGGAATGGTGAGTGGATTAAAACAAATGGTTTCCTTTTATTTTAAAAAAAAATGAATAAAGAGCTATTGTCTAGTGTATACTTTCCATAGAATTCATCTAAATAGTGTGAAATCTTGGAAGATAATGAGAGATTACAGTTAGAGAAGAATATTGTAATATTTACTGAATGTAAATAAAAACTTCTTCCCTTGGAATTCAGTCATTATTCAAACCATGTAGTAGGTGAATCCGTGGTTTATGAAGAGGTATCAGTGGTGTTAGCTCATTCCGGTATGAATTTAATTTCTGTGGCATTGGAAGACTTGTGCTCAGAGCCTATGGATGGATTCCCAACTATACAACCGTCAGTACTCTGCTTTACTTCACATCAATGAGATTGTGTTGGAAATAACTGCTATACTTGGACAATTTCTCCCAGATGAGCAGTAAAGCAGTTATTTTCCCTTGGAGATCTGTTGCAAGCATCTGGAGGTGTCTTTGACAATGGAATTGTTTGCCTTGTCAGGTTCTGCCCAACCTAGGGTGTTTGTCTACAGCTGCAAGGCTTTTTCTTCCTTCATAGTTTAATTCTTTCTGATGCTATAGCCATGGTGTACCTTCATTGGTTTCAAATCAAAACTTTAGAAGATTTTCGTATCATGTTATAAGATTTCAGGCTATATTTTCTACAGAGAAATTTTGTGTCAACTTCCCTTCCAGCTTCTGGAATTGAGCACTGTTTTGTTATTAACTAAGAACCATGCATTTTGCTTATAGCAATTTTTAGAATCTGTACAAGGGTGTTCCTGGTGAAAAGGGCAATCCATCACAGAAATTATAGGGGAATGAAGAGCTGGAAATCACGAGTCTTGGGTCCAAAATAGCAGTTTCCTTTCTGACCCCAATTTTGGTATGTTTTCAGAAAAGTGGTGTGTACTAACAAACAAACATTATTGCACCAAAGGGTTTGATCAATCCTTTTTAAAGTCAGCTCATCAAAAGTGACACACTCAGAGAACACAAATTTTCTTTGGCTTCAATTAGAGCCACACTGTTGAAGGATTAGCATGGCACCTCTGATCTAATTTCAAGCTTATCAGCTGGGTCTTGTTGGTTCAGTTTAGCCATCTAAGGGGCCTAACATGGCTATTCTGCCCCTCTCCAACTTCTCACTTTTCTTGAATGTGAAAAGCTCTTTCTTAACTCTGTGCCTTTGCAATCTTCTGCACCAAATGCCCTTTTCGTTCTTTCCTGGCAAATTCCTGCTCATCTTGCTAGCTTGATTCCTACCTTCTTTAAGAATCCTTTCCTTGCTCCCGAGGCAAAGTTAGATATTCCATTATTTGTGCTTGCATGACACTTCTATCTCTCTATTATGAACATCTACCCCCACAAAATATTAAGCTCCTAGTGAAAAAAAAGTACTCAGCAAAAAAGTCCTGAGTACTTTTCCCAGTTGCCTGGCATATAGCAGGATCAATACGTATTTAAGTGACTGATAAATGAATTCAGCATAGCCAATTTTCATAATTATTTGCCAGTTAAAGCTAATAGTTACTATTTTTTCAGAATTTACTGTATGCCAGGCTCTCTACAGTGATTATGTCATTTAACTTTCACAATGGCATTATGAACGAGGAATTATCTCATTTATAGATGAAGAAACTGAGGCTCAGAAAGTTTATGTAATTTGCTCCAAATAACTTAAATGGGGATGGCAGAAGTGGGATCTGAACCCAAGCCTTTCTGGTCGTTGATGTATGTTCTTTATTCTAGCTTATATTTTATCTGAACAAACAAAACATTAGTTGATTCTTGGTAGAAGTAGTAACTTTGCATAGCTTTTACAACTCTAAGTCAAGAAAATACAAGAGAAATATCTTCAGGGCATTTTGAAGTTTTGTTTCAAATTGAATAGCATAGTTTAGCTGTCTAAGATAGACCAGTTAATAATTAGGTCAGTATTTTAAGAAAAAGATTTCAGAACATTCATGATCCCCAAAAGCAAAGTTGTAAGTGGAGATGGGCTTTGCAAATTGCCATTCCAGACCTTACACCAGAAAACATTGTCATATACTCATGTGGAGCAAATATTGGTCAAAAAGCAGGCATAGTCTTGTACAAACAGTATCTCCAAATATGAGGAAGAGTAATATCACCTAGATAACTTGCATTAGGTGTCCAAACTGAATGTAGTAAAGGGAGACTTCTGAAGTTGCTGCCTTCAGTTAAATGCAAAATAATGTCAGTCGCCTTGTTCTGACATTAGGAGGACATTAGCTGGAGCAAATAATCGTATCATGTGCTATAGAATTAAAGTCCAGGACTATTTGGCCTATTGTTAACAGCCCTAAACTGCACAATATTATCTTCAGTAATTTACATCACTTTAGTTTGTGTATATATATATATACATATATGTGTATATATATATATCTCTAGATACAAAAATTTATAAAGTATGATACTAATTCTTTAGATTAGCAAAATATGAATATTAAATGCTGAAATCACAAATAGTTTAATTTTTATAAAATGTATAATAAGATTTATGACATTTCAAGTATTAAATGAATATTTTCAGCTTTGTTTACATTTTATTAATTATTTTGCTTAAGACATCAGTTATTGAATATAATTTATATTTGCTTTTAATTCCAATAGATTTTTAATATTTAATTTAAAAATAGCATTTTTGAAGATAAGGAAATAAGTCAATTTTGTCTAGTACAAAAAATAGGCACAAAGACCAATGGAACAGAATTGAGAACCCAGAAATAAAACTGCTGTCTTACAACCATCTCTTCTTTGACAAAGCCAACAAAAACAAACCCTGAGGAAAGGACACTCTATTTAACAAATGCTGCTGGGAAAACTGACTGACCTTGTGCAGAAGAATGAAACTGGACTCCTTCCTCTCACCATATACAAAAGGATTAATGACTTAAACGTAAGACCTCAAACTATAAAAATCCTAGAAGAAAGCCTAAGAAACACTCTTCTGGACATTGGCCTTGGCAATGAATTCATGGCCAAGACCTCAAAAGCAAAAGCAGCAAAAACAAAAACTAACAAGTAGGCCCTAATCAAACTAAAGAGCTTCTGCACAGCAAAAGAAACCAGCAACCAAGTTAACAGACAACCTACAGAATGGGAGAAAAATATTTGCAAACTATGAACTGACAAAAGAATAATATCCAGAATTTGCAAAGAACTCAAAAGAATCAATAGGAAAAACCTAAAAACCCTATTAAAAAGTGAGAAAAGGACATAAACAGAGACTTCTCAAAGGAAGATATGCAAGTAGCCAACAAGCATATAAAAAAGTGTTCAACATCAGGCTGAGTGTGGTGATTCATGCCTGTAATCCTGGCACTTGGGGAGCCAGGTGGGAGGATTACTGGAGCTCAGGAATTCAAGGTAAGCCTAGGCAACATAGTGACACCCTGTCTCTATAAAAAGTAAAAAAATCAGCCAGGTGAGGTGACATGTGTCTGTAGTCCCAGTACCTTGGGTGACTCAGGCAGAAGGATGACCTTGAGTTTAGGAAGTGGTGAGCTATGATTGTGCCACTGCATACCAGTTTGGGTGATGAAGTGAGACCCTAATTCAAAAAAAAAAGTTCAACATCGCTAATCATCAGAGAAATGCAAATTAAAACCACAATGAGATATCATCTCACATCAGTCAGAATGACTTTTATTAGAAAGCCATAAAACAACATATGTTAACGAGGTTGCAGAGAAAACGAAATGCCCCTACATTATTGGTGGGAATGTAAGCAGTTCAACTGCTGTGGAAAGCAGATTGAAGATTTCTCAAAGAATTAAAAGTGTTACCATTTGACCCAGTGGTCCCACTACTGGGTATATATCCAAAGGAGCACAAATCACTTGCCAAAAAGATATCTGGATTCACATGTTTATCACAACATTAACCACAGTAGCAAAATATGGAACTAACCTAGGTGCCCAACAACAGCAGACTAGATAAAGAAAATGTGTTATATATACACCATGGAATACTATGCAGCCATGAAAAAGAACAAAATCATGTCCTTTGCAGCCACTTAGATGCAGATGGAGACTATCATTCTAAGCGAATTATCACAGAAACAGAAAACTGAATATCACATGTTCTCCCTATTAAGTGGGAGCTAAACACTGAATACGCATGGGCACAGAAATGAGAACAACAGACCCTAAGGCACTCTTAAAGGAAGGAGGAAGAAAGGGGAGGGGGGTAAGGTTGAAAAACTATCCACTGAATACCATATTCTACCACCTGGGTGATGGGCTCAATTGTTAAGTTCAAACCTCACAAGGATACAATATACCTATGTAGCAAACATAGGTATATACCCCTTGACCCTAAAATTTTTAAAAATTTCTTGCATTAACTTTCATGTAGGTATTTTGATTAAACACTCATTGTGCACTTACTCCTATGTAGTTGTAATTTTGTATCCATTATCCAATCTTTTTGTATCCTCCCCTCCCCTCTGCCCTTTTCAACCACTAATAACTACAGTTCTACTCACTGCTTCTATGAGCTTATCCTTTTTAGCTCCCACATGAGTAAGAACAAGCAGTATTTATATTTCTGGGTTTAACCTATTTCACTTAATATAATGGTCTCTAGGCTTATTCATTTTGCTGCGACAGACAGGATTTCATTCTTTTGTAGGGCTGAATATTACTCCATTTCTTATCTATATCACTTTGATGTCTTCAGCTTTGTTCTTTTTGCCCAGGATTGCTTTAGCTATTTGGTGTCTTTTTTGGTTTCATACTAATTCTAGGATTGGTTTTTCTATTTCTATGGAGGTTGTCATAGGTATTCTGATAGGTATTACATTGTCTTTATCCATTCATCTGTTGATGAACACTTAGGTAGATTCTTGACTATTGTAAACAGTGCTGAAATAAACTTCAGGGTGCAGATTCCTCTTTGATATACTTGTTTTCTCTCCTTTGGATAAATACCCAGTAATGGGATTGCTAGATTATATGATAGTTCTATTTTTA